CATGGCACATGCACATGCGCGCGCGCACTTAACGTCGATCAGTTCATTAAAGACTTCATTTTTGTCCATACGTGAGGCGAAAATTCCCCTAAAATTTATTATTCACGATATAGACGACCTTAGCGAATTAATATTTTCTTTTTACTATTACCCTTCATTACTTAGGTCGTAACTGTCTCTAGGTTTACTAGGTTAGGTTAGGGTTTATTAGACTGTCGATTATATGACGAATCGTAAACGGTCAATAAGGGAGATTAATATTGAATTTAATAAGGAGGAAACGTCTGTGACTCGTGACTCAGAGTTGGTTCTCGCTTGCTATATTTTTTAATGACACTGAACGGTGGAAGAGCAAGAAAAACAAGGAAGAAAGAAATAACGAGCAAGTGGATGCATCAGGAATTAGGAAAATGCATTAATTCTTGATATCCCAGTTAGGTATTGCTTTCGTCTTTTTTTTGCTTGTTTCTCCATGAAAAATAAAATTTTCTTTTACAAAAGAAAGTATATTGCGAAATCCAACTGTGTAAATGTTTTCTGGCATTACCGATTACGAGCTATCCTACGGGCGACATTACATGTGACGAATGCGTTAATGATAATTCATCAGGGGTGGTATAATTAAACGGTATGTTCCGATAAGGTGGTTTACATTACTTTGGTAAGAGGGCCCGAGAGGGGGTGTAAATGGGAAGAGGTTGAGAAATGAGTTTGTAAGAAAAAGAAAAAAAAAATAATAAAAACTGGAGGAGGGCCAAGGATATACTTTTCGAGGATGAATGAATTATCGGACGAAGGCTTGTATCCTTAATGTATGCATAAATGTCCTCTGAAGACTAAAAAAAATATAAAAAAATAAATAAATGAGGATATTATCGATCATGACGTGAGGTTTTATCATTAGGCAAATTACTGAAATTGAATGAAGGAATGGATTATTTCGTTAGATTAAATTGCATCGATGTCAAATGCAATTAATCCTATATAAGTGTTCACGAGAAATTATGGCCCCCCCTCATTTTTTTCTTTCTATTGCTCCTAAATCATTCGTTGTGTACCTCCCCCGCGTATCCTTCAATCCCGATCATTGAACACCCGGATTCGTTTTCCTTATTGTATCGTTATCAATTGGATTAACAATAAATGCGGGTGAGAGCGTTGGCTTATCGTGAATGTTATATAGGATGCCCATACCTGTATATGTTCAATTTCCATTGGGTCTTGATCGTGCAAGTCTGACATGTAAAGATAATCTATTACTGAATGAGACAACTATATATATGCGGTTTCACTTACAGTATCAGACAAATCTTTATTTAGCGAGCAGCACAACCGTTTAACATTTGTATTCCATCGACTGTACACTATGTATCATTCTTGAATAAAAAATAAATTTTCTTTTATCTCCTTTAGCAAACAATTGTGTATCTGTGAATTTTTTTTAATTACTCAATGTTGTAATAAAAACCAGTGGGATCAAGCCTATCCTTCCTATAGATTCCATGTAGCTGCAGATCCAATGACATGTGGACAATCCTATGCTGTGAAATAAGGTATGTTTTGATGTTGTTGAGTAAGAATTATTGTAGGTTAGGTAAGGGCATAAATGCATTTTTATTGCATTATGCAAGTATACGTGAATGGAATTGCGAGTGGCCTTGAATTTAATCAGATTCGTATGCACGTGTCACTGTGTACTTACTGGATGAAATATTTACTTAATTTCTCTCAAGACCGAGAGATACGCCATGGAGCCCTTCATGATCTGTTAAGTAAGGAGAAAAATCGACGAATGACAACGAAGGAATGTTGCTGGAGTAAATTGAAAAGCGCTTACAGATGTAAATGTTTCTAGGGAAAATACGTAAAATTGTCCTGCTGTCAAGTGCAAGGGTTTTCGTGATCTCATGATCGGGATGATTATTGGCCTGGCGAGGTCTGGCGGCAATTGGTACCAGTTTGAAAAATAGCAAGCGTTGTGAATCGAGGAACTCTGGAAGGTCAAAACGGGTTATCAACTATAGGGGAGCCCGTTGCCATCCATATTCACCTTGGCGATAAAATCGTCGTAACAACTTATCCCCGTGACTTAAGAGGCACGGGCTCGTTTATTCCTTAAATTTTTTGGTTAAGTGCCGAATAAAAACTCACCTCGTGAATTAAACACTCGCCGAGAAAGCAGTAGCTGAAAAGTAGCGTTACAACCGCCAGTGAATAAATAATGAAGCTCAAGGTATTCGTTTCCTCTCCAACTTCTGCCATCTGTAATTCCAGCCTGGTTCGTTATAGAAATGTTAAAAGGTTATCAGCTTCTTGTCATTACCGTGAGTAACTCGAAAGCCACTATGCAAATGACAAAACTAAGACCCATAGTTTGCACCAGCAAGAGGGAGCTGTAAGTCTTATTTAAAGCTGTGGCCATTCTGCAACGTCCATTTGGTTAGCCTAACGTTTCTTCGACACAAAAGTTTGACAGTTAGTGTATAAAGCAACAAATTCTCGTGCAATCAAACAAAGACTGTTTCTCGCATAACCTCTGTGTCTATTAATTTTCATTTCTGACACGTCACCGTGAATTCGTCTGTAGCTATTTACGAAAGGTTCAAAAATCGTTACCCAATGAGATTGGCGTGTCTCTCGATCAGCTGTTTCATTTTCGTTGGGTGAATCAACGGATCAGTCTCGACATTTCGAATTCGCACGGAAAGCAATACAAACTGTCGGCATAGGTAGAATATCAGGACAACCAACAATATATCCGATCCCGTACAGCCGATTGTCAAAACTGTGCTCATTGGCAGTAGACTGAGACACGCCAGTACGTGACTACGCAAGTCGTTAATCTCAAATCCAAAATACATTTGATAAGGTAGCTCGTAGGTTGAGGTTAAATTATTGGATTCTACGAAAGAGAAGATAGAAACAAAGAAGTAAGGTAACAAAACCGTTTCAAATAAATCTACTACTCACTGGCAACGATCCACTGGGATAACGGTACTGCGTACAGCATCGTCGTGACGATGAATATCAGGACGACGGAGAGACGTGTATACAACTTTCCCATGATATTATACAACCATGCAATTCCTGGCTCTTCCTCTACGCTGAATTTGTCTGCTCTGACTTCACTCAACAACGGCAACAACAGCTGCATATTTCTACGGAACATCGCCGTCTTCAGAATCACCATGGCCGTGGGTATAGACTCTGTCATATTCCTGACGGACTTGTCAAAATTCATCCAATACAAATTCGGTACGAGCGCGGCAAATTCGGCGCAGTTGAATAAACTCAAGTACAGAAGGTAAATGAAAAATCGAAAATTATTCGGGCTCTCTGGCCAAATACCAGCCAATGACAAGACTCGCTTACTCAGCCACAATATGTCAGAATCTATGGTTAAATACATATTGAGCGGCTATTGAGTAATGCTATTGTAAGATTTTTCAATTCAGATTTCCACTCCGTGAACCTAGATGATGCTTCACAAAACGTGGACGATTCGAAACTGAATCTAAAATGCTCGCTCGTCATTTCAAGCGGCGGTGGGGCGAGGGGATTGTGCAAAGGGCAGTCGACCCCTCAAGTCCTAGCTAAAGTCTTGGTAAGATTTCAACCGTTCTGGCCTTATTGAATAGTAATGCTCATAGCTTCCGACTCGATACTTTTACACTATTAATGGAAGCATTAAAGATTCTGCTTTCAACTCACTCCCCTCTTCAAACACCGTTAAACTTATTCCACATCCTCTGCATGTTTCAATAGTTTTTTTATTATGCCTATAACTTTAGGCAGGTGAACGCGCATTCGAAGCTACAATATTAAATTCGTTTTCAACGTTTTACTACATTTTCCAAGTCCATTATCACGGAGTGAGTCGTATCAATCAACATTTATATTTTAATTACATAAAAATTGCATGTGGTAGAATATCATAAACCATTGGCATTACAAATACCAGTTTTATCGATAACAATAAAGCGACTTCTCACAACAATAATGAAGCTTCCTTTTAAACGTGTCTTATCAGTTCCATATCTCTTACGTCCGAGACCATAAAATGCGAATCCAGTAGTATAAAAATCCTGAAAATGTCATTCGAACGTCGTTACTGATCCATATCAACAGACCACCCTATAGAAATTATTTGACATAAAACCCAGAAAAGTCAAAACGTAAATGACACTGTTTTAAATTTATGTACTTCTGCTTTTTTTTTTAATTAGCAGCAGCAAGTACCCAGCATTAGAATCCACAATTGTCAGGACGTGCAATAAGAAACGTTAAGGTACGTTTTAAGATTAATACGATCAATGAACATAATAATAATATCGTCGGTCCAATATTATGTGTCTCTGGGTATGTGCGTCGCGGGGCTTCGCGTCTCGTGGGACGTTGCATGCGCGCCAGCAGAAAGCAGACGGATGTGCAACTGTGCAACCAGTGTCATCCTAGAATCCGAGTGCGGAGTCAAGAGAGGCCGAGGACTTTTTCTTCCTGTTTTTCCGTAAAGTCCTTCCGCTTAAAGAGAAGAAAGATGAGGTACAAACACATCGTTATCGTCGGAGCATCATTAATAACGACGCTGCTGTCACTCTCTGGAGTGATGTATTACTTCAATCAAGGTAAACGAAAATTTATGAAATGATATAAAATAATTATTTGGTAATAATTCTTGCATGGGTTCTTAAATTAATCTTATGAGTGATTTTTATGCTTATTTAAAATTTTTATTATTTTTAAATCCGTACGGACGAAAATTTAATATGAAACATTCTCAGAGCGTATGTGACTTGGGATGGATTACGTACTAGGCTAATTATGATGCTGGCAGATGGTACACATAGTTAATATTAATGGAGTGGTCTTATCTCCCCTTCTTCTGAAAATTTCTGACCTGAGAATTGGCACTATTCCCAATTTTGCGAATTTTTAAAAGTTAAACATGACTGCCCTGGCATATGTTATGAACAATATGAAGATAATAGAATTAGATTGGAAGCAAGCAGATAGGTTAAAAATGAACAATCCCGATGTATAAATGACTGTAGTGGGTAAGCAATGTAATTTCCTTTAATGGAGGATCTCATCAAGGTCTGCAGAGAGGATCCTATGTCCTTGGCAAAGAAAGTTATTTTCCGGAATTGAATGGAGATGCGGAAATGAATGATTCTGTGTAATCGACCAATCAAAAGATGCCAAGATGTAAATAAGTTGATAATTTGACATATGTCAATAAATGTATGTACCTGCTAAGTAGAAATTTTTACTTTTACAATAAAATTGCATACAAATTGTTGTAAGTTCCTCGTAGTAAAAATACAAGTAGGAATGTATCTGTATCCACGTGCAATGACGTAAATCTTCATAGTGATTCAATCGCCATTCAAATGATAAGTACGTGAGTCCTCGACGTATCATTCTTACTCTATACTCGACACTTACGTGTCGCTACGAAGATCGACAAAAGTGCTCATGTGTGATTAGATCACCTTTAGGAAGGCATGAAAAAAAAAAAATAAGACAATGAAATTAATTATAAATAAATCAATAATGATAGTGTTATTAACTGTTTTTATTAAAAAACTAACTTGACCGAGTAGTACAGCTTTGGCGGCGTTTACAAAGCGTTCATAAATCTACGATGACAGATATCACGAATATCGATCCGATACGTATACCTTGTGCAATATCGGTTATCAATCGATGGACGCAAATTGCTATTGAAATGAGAGAATAAAATTGAAGTTAGATATAAAAATTAATGATGGTTCGGTACAAGTCTGTTTTTATTTAAAAAAAATTCATTTACTTTATTCCTTCTTTCGTTCTAACCTCCAAATACTTTTGATTATTCGCCAATGGTTAACACGGGTCAAAGAGTCATATATCGGATCACGATCGAATCAATTGAATTAGAAGCTGTCAGTGGATCTGCGAATAGAAATTATACGTGGAGGAGTATTAGAATCTGAATAGATTCCAGTCGTCTTGAATATAAAAGTGTTCAGGTGTCATAACGTTACAATCTCTAAGTATATAAAATCCAGTACGCATGGATAAATACAACAAACGCATATTACGCTCGAGTGGGTTTTTTCGAAAGGTTCTATTTATGCGAGAGTAGCTCGTAAAAAAGGGAATGCATTCGATTTTACGAGCACCCACACGAGGCGAATCGTGTGGTCGTATTTTTTATTCGAAACTTTCTGCATTTATTGACAGAGACGCTGGGCGTAAATTGATATAGAATCTCATTAACCCTATACTCATGACCTTATGCATTAGGATTCTAGTCGAATGACTTTTGAAATTGACTTTTATTATTTCATCTAAAATTACCCTGAACGTAAATTAGCTTTGTACTGTGGACAATTTTTTACGACAGTCGATAATGTAGGGATCTATATCCTTATTTTCATTTGATCATACAGACAAGTGTCCAGTGGGTACTTTTCCGTGCCAGAACAGTTCTATTTGCATGCCACAACGAAGCTGGTGTAACGGAATAATGGATTGTCCAGAGGGGGATGATGAATTTGAAACAGAGTGCGGTGAGTCTCTCTTTTTTCCATCATTGTCTTTCTCTTTGATTTTTACCTAGTTGTAATCGCTCATTTCTATATACGTGATATCCTTATGTTGTACGGTATCATGTACGTAATCTGATTTTTATTTTTTCTTGAAATACTATAAGTCATTCTTATTAAATTAATGCATTTACAAATTTCTATTTACACTAGGAGATATGCATGGCAGCTGGGACTGGTTTATCAAAGATCCACAAAATAAATCAAAAATCATTTGTGGTAATTAAACAAAATTCATTTTACCATCAAACGGTGTTAAATGTATGTTTGTATAGAAATATTTTCTATTTTTTTCCTCCCAGATTCTACACAATGTCCGGAAAAATGTACCTGTCATGCATGTCACTTGATGTGTGTTGGTTACGCCGAAATACCTCAAAATTTCTCGTCCAATGTTACCACTATGTATGTATCGAGCTGCCTGCGTTCAGAATACATCGTTTTTGGGTATTAAGACGTTTGATTCATATATTATACGTTGACTTTTGTAGAACTTTGACAAACAATGCGCTTACGCAACTTTCTACAAACGAGCTGATCAAATACGTAGAACTACGATACTTGTAAGTCATTGCTGCTTTATTCTGTTTATTCTTAACACATAAAATCTTTTTTGGTATTGATCAATTAATTATGGACACTTGTAGATATCTCGAAAACAATTCAATAAGAAATCTGGCAGATGGCGCATTCGCAAATCAAAGGCAGTTACAATGGCTGTAAGTAGCGTCGAATATATTTAGGACTTACATGGTAATTTATCTAATTCGAATGTAGTAATTATTCGATTCCAACAGAATTCTCTCGGATAATAATATTCGAGAGGTACGACGTGGTCAGCTGTCTGGATTAGAATCATTGGATGTTCTGAGGGCGGACGGTAACGAAATTACTTACGCGGACTTATTTGATTTCGAGAACAGCACCTCCCTGCAATGGATGTGAGAATCGTCGATTTTTATTAGTCTTATAAGTGTTTTTTTTTGTTTATGCCATTGACCATACAAATATTCTTTTACCAACATCAGCTAGACAAATACACAGCATAGTATTTCTTATAGAGATTTCAGCAGAAACAAACTGACTTCCTCGACTCTAAAACTCCCGTACTTGCCAGAATTAAAGGAATTGTGAGTATCGATAATCGAATATATTGATTTTAGTTATCACTTAATATCGATTGTAAAATTATATTTTCGTACATGATCCAAGAGTTCTGGACGAAAATCGACTTGAGGCTATCACGGAAAATTTATTATCGATGTTACCAAGCCTGATGTCACTGTACGTATCGATTGTTATCGATCGATTGATTTTATATACATGATATGTTAAAATTTTTATTTTTAATTATTGCAGAAGCCTAAGTGGAAATACCGTGACTACTATACACGTGAACGCTTTTCGAAATCTGAATAATTTATTAGAATTGTAAGTTTACCTAAAAGTCTAATGATTTATGTCATGGAAATTTATTAGATTTTAAGAATTTAATTTTTTTTAGAAATTTAGAAGACAACAAGATCTTAGCTATACCGGAGGATGTCTTTAAGCCTATAGGAAATCTAACGAAATTGCAAGTACACTTCGTGTGGCTGTTATTATTTATTATTTACTAATAATGAAACCCAGTGACGTGAACGTTGTTACGACCATACGGATCAAAGTGATTAACGATTAAAATCCAGACGTGCTCGCAGCAGATTTACTGGTGCTTTACTTAGATATACATATGAGTAATTATATCTGTCTATCTAGTTATAATTGAATATAGAGAGCACTGGGTAGAATAGCAGAATAAACGGAAATTAGACAGACGGGAAATTTCTCACTGGAAATGAAGAAAACGTCACGTACTTGATTGATCCGAACTGATATTTTTTTTTGTTTTTGCCAGTTTGAGTTAGAAAATTATTCGATTCCAGTACTGCGTGAGAACTGAATTTCAATTGAATTTTTCTCTTTTTTATATAGACAATGTGATCGATTCTTTCAGATCGATAGGATTCAATCCGATTGAGGATCTGCCAAGCGCTCTGTTTGATCCACTGAAAAATCTACGATCGCTGTAAGTCATCGATTAATTCAGTAATAATCAACAATTCATATTAAATGTGAATATATATAATTTCTCAGTGGCCTCGAGGAAATTGAAATCGTCAATATGGAGAAAAATATATTCGATCTGTTTCCGTATTTGGATTTCGTGTGAGTTGAATATAAAATAATTATTACTCTAATCGTTATTATAATTCCCGTATAATAACTCAAATTTGTCTTATTTGAATTTTCACAGTTACTTGAAAAAGTTTCACTATTGCACAACCTACGCGTCTAACGTTCAAAAATGCCGGCCAGTCAGCGACGGTAAAATCAACCGTTGACTTGAGTTCCAATATTTCTTTCAGTCTAGAAAAAAAAACAATTGATAAATAATAATTGTCCATTTATCAAACAGGAGTCTCATCTTTGTCCCACCTATTAAGCAAACCGCTGCTACGTGCTGCTGTCTGGGGTATATCGTGCGTGACGTGCTTGGGAAATGCTCTGGTCTTGTGGGGAAGATTCACAGCTAAGGACGAAAACCAAGTGTTGAGCATCGTCATCAGAAATCTTGCCGGTGGGTTTTAAGCCGCCTTTACAAATCCCCTCGTGTATACACAACATGCATAGTCTAAGATAGAAGGAAACTTAAATTTAGACTACGTGGAATCCGTCAAGTTCGAAGAGACAAACCTATGGGGTTTCATGGGAGTCTTCCTATAGCTTCTTTTATTTTAGTTTCTGACATGCTGATGGGTATATATCTCTTTGTTATCGGATTGGAGGACATTCGATTTCGAGACAATTATAATCAGATCGCCAGCACCTGGATGTCATCTTGGTCCTGCACTTCCGTTGGAATTTTGGCCATGACGTCCTCAGAGGTACTACCCCATAGCTACCTAAATATTTCTATATAAAAAGAATACCATGTGATTTTGAAACTGCTATTTCAGGTTTCAGTATTGATCCTACTGTTCATGTCGGTAGAAAGATTTATGCTGATCGCTGCACCTTTGAAGAGTCATCGCGCCTTGACACCTCAAGCTGCATCTTCATCTATGATTGTTATCTGGATATTTGGAATTCTACTAGCACTTATACCAGGTATCTATAAAAATTATTTATTTATTTTTATATGATAATACAAAACCTTTTCTTTATTTAGCTATTCATTGGCGTAGCAGTACCAGATTCTATGGTGTCAATGGCTTGTGCTTCCCTCTACATATAGACAACCCTTATCTGATCGGCTGGGAATACTCTGCTTTCATTTTCCTTGGACTGAATCTCTTGGGGTATCTATATGGAAAATATTGCAAACTATAAAGAAATCAGTTATTCAACTTCAAACGCAACCACCTGAGCATGGTTTTACTATAAATATAAAATTGACACGCTAACTTCAGGTGGCGGCGTTAAGCTGAATCACCCGGTATAATTTCAGGCTGATCGTCATTGGCTACGTTTATGCTGGGATGTTCGCCAGTATTTGGAGAACGCGACACGCGACTCCCTTGTCAGTGGGAGATTCGGAATTTGCAGTAAGATTTTTCTTAATTGTATTAACCGATACGGCCTGTTGGGCGCCGATAATTACACTGAAAATTCTCGCCCTGATGATGTACCCTGTTCCATGTAAGGATTATTATAATTATTCCTTAAATGAATTTTCCGAGTCACGTTTTCTTACTTTTCAATTGGGAATGATCTTTTCAGCCGATCTTCATGCTTGGGTCGTCATCTTCATTGTGCCGGTTAACAGTGCAGTTAATCCTTTGCTCTACACATTCACTACCCCAAAATTTCGAGAGAGACTGGGCGAGGAATGGTTTCGAAAAATCCGTGATCGTTTTACTGGAAAAAATTCTACTCGAAGTGAGTAAAGTTCTTAATTTATGATCACTTTTGATGATCAACATTTTTTAAGAAAATACATTCTTTCAGATTCTCACGTACCGACGGCTCTGTGCAATAAGAACGTGATGCTGTCGCTCTCGTCAACCGATGAGAAATGTCCGATAGACCATAAAGTGTCGAGTATCCCGATATTTATTAATGAGGATCAATTAATTAGTAAACTGACTCAGCAGACAAACAAATCACCGATAGGTTCATCGCCTGTAACAAGTCAATGACTTGTTTCAATTATTCCTCTATATTGCGTCAAGCGCATCAAGCGCAGGATCGTCAGATGTAATTCAAAAACAAAATCAATCTATATAACTATTAATTGAGCTATCCAATATAGTGAATTTATGACAGCTGAGCACAGAATGTTTACGTTGAAAATGTAGTTCGTTAAATTATTAACTAACATACCAGTATTCATATTTAAGATATCATTGGAAAAATGCTTGTCTCTATTCAAAGCGCAAAGAATGACCAGGAGTCTGACTTCCAGTAAAATGAGAAATAAGAGTCCTCCTAAACTTCTCGTCTTTCAATATTATGTTCAATTCATAGGTCACTCATGTAAAGTAAAAAAATTGTTCTATTGTTATTCGATTTTATCATTTACTCAATTTCAACGTCTGCATTTTGTCGCAGCAGTTAAAAAGATTTGCGTTAGCACGAGCCATTGTCCAATCAGAGTGCCAGTACGGGTATCGCGACTGGTTCAAGAATTTTAAAGCTTTAAGACCGGTCGTAAATCTACTTTCAACAAAATATGTTGTGATCTCCTTCACGTATAGCACATGGCATACGGTTATGGGATATAATATATAATTTATGATGGACACTCAATAGGAGGGTCCCGTTAACGGTTATTCTCTTCCTTCTCCTTCTGACCTCACCTCTCGCTCCACCCCAGACTCCAAAGTCCTCAAGTCAATCTCGATACTCTCACAATCTGCAATTCCACCGAGAATCCCAGACTTGAGTCTCCAGAAAGCTACCAGCTTCAACTAGGAAATAAACTTCTACTAGGAAGACACTTACTTCTGTTCCGATCAAATATCCAATGCAGTCAGCAGTCATGATGCATACCGGGCAGACTCGTGTCATGTGCACGGAGGAAGGAGGGTTCGAAAGTTCAAAGGCGAAGAACGATCGAAGCAGCCTTCGAAGGCCTTTCGAGTGGCTCCCACGGCAAAGTAAGAGTCGTTTCGCTAGTCGCGAGATGTGGAATGCACGCACAGATTAAAGGCACACCTTCCCGCCGGTGACTGCAGCCATTGCAGAAATACTATACAGTTTCCAGCCAGTATGGAACATTCGTTTCACCTGTTGTACCAATAATTCTAGTGTTTTCCTTTCTCCATGCCTTCTTCATTTTAGCCTTAGAGACCTGACTTGTATTAGATAATTATATCAACAGGCATAGTCAAAGATTGTTTTTCTGCACAAGTTATAAAAAAAATGTGTAATTAACCCTGAGAATATTTATACAGATAACAGACATGGAACGAAGGCCGATGACGGTATACCTTTATTACGTTCAGTCGTGACTCCGTGACTCGTGAATGGTGAATCGTAGACTCTTTCAAATATCGTCCTTGATCAACTTGCACGTAGAACTCGTTGCAGTAAATTATCAGCATTCACTTGCTCATACGGGTAATCTGGGCTTTGTTCGTTCACCGCAATACAGGCATCTTTCAATCAGTAATTCTGCATTTGTCGATTTGCATAGTCTGTAATATAAAAAAGTTGGTAGTATACTGTATTTATATTGCGAGCATGCTCACCGGTATGGAATAGCAGAGATAGCGAGAGTGTAACGGCTCATAAATGTAGTCCTATTAATATTCGCTGATATTACGTAACAGTTGACTTGCAGTATAAATCGAGCAAGGAAACGATGCGCGTTGCTCGCTCCAATCAAATCTTAATGTAATATATTACCGAGCAAATTACTTAACGAAACTGTGCTTGTTTATGTGGAATACTTGAAACCTAGATCCGCGAAGAATAAATTATCGAATTTTAGTGTCCACCTACGTATTGTTGACTGACTTTCTATCAGCGAAAGTGAACTTTGACGTCCGTGGCTCTAGTCACTTTGGCAGCTACATTTTTAGAGGTTAGATTGGCCATCCGTCCGATGTAAGAAGATTGGCTGCAACGGAACGCGTAATCAGGACAAATCATAATTAAAATCAGACAACCATGCATCTTTATTCGTTGCCACCAACGCAAAGTCACTTTTATACATCGGGGAAAAGAAAACGTGGGCGATTTTGCAAATTTGTGTAAATGTCATTATTTCGTAATACGATATTGCTATAATCCCGTTGAATAAGCATGAGGTGACTCATTAACTCATCGGTCGAATGTTTATGATTCTGTGTATCTCGTGACCGATGCTTTTCAATTTATTCAAAACCGTAAGTGTATACAGGGATGCAGAGAACTTTAACAGCGACAATTTGACCAGGTTATGAAATACGAAAAGGTCGACTCTGCACGGCCTTTCGAATGAATCATAAACGTCATAATCGCACGCAATAAAGTTTTTCACCTAAACAGCATTAACATCATGAAGATTTGGAAAAAGTAACAGGCATGTGTACGAGGCAGGTGAAGCAATAGCCTTTTTTGTTGTTGTGTTGTCGTATCTGAGAAAACAGAAGCTCATTGTTGAATACCAACCGATTGGCAGAAACTCTTGAAGCAACGACATAACAATGACAGTCATTCGTGGAAGAGGTCACCGTTACACTTCTTCTTCCTACCCGTAAGTACAGCTTCTCGACAATTTGTTGAAGCTCACCAGACTCACAGACCGTCACAAAACGCCATAATTGTCGTAGAGCGTTATTTACCAGGCTTACACAATCCACATCGTCCGCTCAGTCGATACCAACGCTCGAATGTGATTTACTGCGTCACCTAATGGATCGACCGGTAACAATTAAGCAACATAAGATTTCGTCACAGCTTTGCCTTCGCTCGGATTCCCCGAGTAGAATTTATCTTCAGGAGCACTGCAGGTATTATCGCAATCGATTAAGAACCGTATTTGACATCGAAAGTCTCTAGTCAGCCTGAAAAATTCAATTGATCGAATCTGCTTGTGAAATGGAAAATTTTTTAAAGAAATTCTATATCGTTCATTAATTTTAAACAAAGCAAAAGACTGTCAGGTAATTCCTTGAGTTATGTTACAGTAAAGTCAAGACCAAACGAATCCAAGTGGAATCCAGGCTCTACGCGATGCACTTGGACTCTTCATCTTCCCACGATCACGATCGCGAAATCTTTTGGCTCTCGATCACGCAAGCAAAGATTCTCGATCGCCGAGCGACTGGCGTGCCAAATCACAGGGATCCCTTACCACTCGTACGCTTCTCATCTTGGATGCTGGGATCCATCTGGCCACCCTGCTGGAAGTGGCTGTTCCAAGAAAAAGACAGAGATGAGGTGAACGAGAAAAGGACGAAGGGTGGAGTTTGGTTGGGTTAAAAAATACGAAGAACGATTACCCTAACTACTTGACGTTTAAGAATCGCAATCGATTAAAGAATAGTTTACTTGCTTGTTTTCTCTTGGCCGATCGCTATTCAATTTAACCTATAGACATGCGGCTCTCTTTTGCTTCGAATGATCTTCAAATTCTCACCTTCGTACCTATGGCTATTATGCGTCTGGCATATCATAATTACCCATCAGAGATATTTATTTCAGATGCTATTAAGTACCAGAAGGCGGTAGCCAGACTCCTCAGTGGCATTGAGCAAGTTCAAAATAACGGTTTGTGGAATTAGTCCAAATCTTCCGGCGATTAAAGATAGCTGGGTTAACATATGGACGGATCGAGTGTGTATATGTATATATACCCTGGAGCAAACGGTGATTGGTCATTGTTTACAGGTTACATTGACCAGACGCCAAATTCCTTGCATTGTCCACGTTTTATCAGCAGGTAATATCTAATGAGTTATTCGACCTTTACCCTCGGATCTTGTGTTCAAGATCTACCGATATTTTACTAGATCAGTCTTACCATTTTTCTCAATACCGGTTTTCGTGTATTCTTCATTATAGAAAAATATACTTCAAGATCTGCCATAGGAGATGAAAACAAGTATCGAGTAACAAATGATTTAGGTTATTAAAAAAGAGAATTTGACAGAGAAGCCTTATTTAAGCATGGCACATTCTTCGACCGGACGATTCGCTTATCCTGCGGTAGATAGAAAAGAAATGCGAGACGTGGCGTGTCGTAAGACAACCGATTCACCTTTCATCTTTGTGCATGAGCACGAGTATTCACGTGTCGAGGACGCGTGTACTATCGGATGAGGTCATTGCCACCGATGCGAATGCTCACTAAGCTACTACGCCTCAAAGAAACGATCATTGTTATTCCGTTGTCAGAGCGAACTGGCTCCCTTGTTTGCCATCGCAACAAGATTAGCATGTTAGCCAACTTGAACTGGCTTTGAAAATAGGACAGGGATATGAAGAGTCCGTACGAGGAAAAGACAGAGAAAAGAAAAAGAGGAAATACTAGGAACGTTAAAGCGAACGCACTCATAGTTATCTAGGTACGCGATATAAGATCGGATAAAATTGCAATGAAAATATAAGGCATCGATAAAATGTTGATAATACATTTAATGTTCTGTAGGTATGAAAGTTACTCGAGCCACATAGATTTCGTATCTCCCGCTGACAACTGGCGACACGAAGCACCGCAACGCCCACGCGGCGGGCGCGCGTACTAAAAAGGTATCTGCATGTAATCTCGTACCAAGGTTAAATCATAACGCGTTCGTAAGGTATTGTGGTTATGGTATCCTCCCCCTTGTAATATTCGTCGGTCGTGTATAGCCATATTATGATACAGGTTCGCAGAATCGAAGACAATGCAAGGCGTGGTGAGTTCATGCGCCAGCCATTTTCGTTTACCCTCTTTAAAATGGTTGTTGGACTGCAGGCAGGTCAGCCATGAGGTACGGTGAATGTTTTTAACGGTCGGGTGAAGTATTGTTCGTGCCTCGACGCTGTATTTGGAAATACGGCGTTGTGTCAAAGGTTAAAGAATACAGTTGTACGTGGGATATTAACAGCTTGGCGGATCACGATGCAAATTATGAGATGAAACTGCCCTTAAAAAATTGCATCGTAAAAATGACTTGTCATTCGATACTGTTTACGGAACACAATATACCTGGAGAAATGTGCACTGCGATGATGCAGGTTATACATAGATTGTGTGTTATTCGTTCGTAAGGTTCTTCATTAGTGTATAAAGTGACACGACAGCTGGGCGACCTTCGTTAAGGACCGAAGGATCTCCCGTTTCATTTTATTTTTTCATTCCATGTTCGTCGTCCGCTATCAATTTTAATATTCATAACGGATAAGGTCGTCTATGCAAATTAGAAGGATCGTGAGGCGAAGTGAAATTAATTGAATTTCTCCTGCAATCTATAATAGGTTCAGGTTTGATATTTATACAGATGAATATTGATTGGTAGATAGTCAATTTAATAAAATTCTTATATTAATAACAGAAATTCCATTGCGAATATTTTTAGGTTTAGGTTTAAAAGGTTTCGAGGATCGGCTTGTATGTACCCAGGATAATAATACGTAGCGACGGCCCAATGAACATGTGCATATACCTGTCAACAGTTCATCCGCCCACGATCCATTATAAGGTACATAAATTCCTTTGCTCCTCGTGCATTCTCCCCTTCGATGCGATTTATGGTTGAGATTATTTGGGATTAGCATAACGATTCCGATGATCAAGATTCTGAGAGCTGACAGACATCTCATGATTAAACCAGATTATATACTAAAAAAAATTACTACAAGCCACGGAGCGGCCATTTTGACTTTTCAAGCCAGCTAATGAAGTAAGTATATTTTTTCATCTTTATCTAAGACCTTCGACCTTTCAATTTTGACCTTAGACCCTCCAACACCTTTAACCTTCAGCTGCAAATCGATACAATTTCGAATTCCAGAATAAAAACGATATGCGTTCCAGATAATCCTTAACGCGATAAAGAGACGTTGAAGGCTTGTCGGCGAATCAGACACAAAGGACTTGAACGTACAGCGGAATTTTCAAATAAGGAAAGGATCGTTAGGCAAGACTATCAAGGGCCGGTTGTTGCAAAGTCCAAGCATATAAAAAATGGTAGGATGATAATGATGTCAAAGATAAAAAAAGTTAAGGACAGCAAAGGGGTAGAATGAATCGATCCTCCCTTGTACGTCGAAGCGTGGGACACTTGCAAGAGAAATAATTTTAGAAGGAAAACGATCGTCCGTATACCGAATCATTGTAAAAATCGAAAACGATCGGAATTGCAGTCGATAAACGTTACTTTGTCAGCTGTTTCGAAGCTTCTCTATACTTATACGGTGTAAATATGATATCAGTAAAGCATTCTCTATATGGTATCGATTGATTGAGGTTGCATCTCTATATCTGGAGCAGCGAACGGCAGTAATGGCTGACTCGTCAGTAGCCCTTTGACAGACTTATTAGCAAATATAAATCCGAGCGTGCCGTTACCGTAGTCAGCCATTTGGTTTTTGTACCGAAGATACTCAAAGGAGTGCGAGCACGAAATACGTTGGATTTCCAAGGACAGATTTTAATTAGTACTTAAACAATACTTTTAATGACGTATCACCATTTTTATTTTATTTATAGTTATATCAAAATAAAATGACAGTCATTTTCTATAAGGGTCACGCACGAACCAAAAAATGTTCCAAGAGGTAATATATACGTACATATATATATTACTGCAAATATGTATGGTGCCCTATACAATGTATAAGTGTATTCATCTTTTACCAATAGATTCAAACTGATATGGGAAGCCAGATAGGTACCAGGTATGGATGCAGAGGAAACTTGAAGATTCTCTCGGTCACAGGGTAACCCGAAGAGCAGAAGATCATAAGAGCAGAAGAACAGCGGAGAAGGTTGAAGGGCAGCAGTCCAGCGGAATGAAGAGTGTATTATATTATGTTGCAGGGCGGTGTCGTCTTACCGGAGCTGCCACTTACAAAGCCGCTTGCGGTCGGTTGTCCTCAGCGGAACGGGATGGAACGAACTGGAACGGACACTAGCCGGGCACTGGGCAGACACTTTAGTGACACGGTCATCGAATGCAAAAATCTCCAGGACTCGATATTGCGAAGACACCCACACACCCCGATGGCTTCACGCTGCAACGGGCAAGTAGTCTACTCCAGGTCCGATAGCTCGTGGACAAGACGCCATAATCATTTTCATGCTCCTCCTTGATCATTCACGCAGATGCAATTTCTATGCCTTAGCATCCTAGCCATTCGCCTGACCTGGGTCTGGTGAAGCCTCTGTTGAAAGACACTGCTGCCGTCTTAAAATGGATCACTAGTGTAGTTGCGCGGATAATGCTTAAATTATCTGAACCAAGAAGATGGTTATTAGGTTATGTTGATGGTCGCCACTGGACAGAATTGCTGCGCCGATGGATGTTTTATTCAGGAAATGCATTGAGTGTACCGCAGCAAGGTATCCTATTGTCTAAACATCGAATGGACTTTAACGAGACACTAATAGTGTCGTAAAGATTTACCAAGGAGAGTAAAGATTTCGAATCACTGCATTAATCTATCTGGGATATACTAGGTAATAATTCTCTTCAAGGTTTTAAAGTATAGACCATAAGAATGAACGTTAAACATTTTCTACGAAGCTAGAGCAAGGTTATCGTCAAGCGAACAGTGCAGAAATATTGAATAAGGTACGTTTCAGGTGTACTGGCATTCGAAGAATACGTGGAAAACGTCACGTAATCCGGAAGCTAGGACGGAAGATGCTGTGCACGAGTCCAGGAAATATTTTGACTTGGTACTGTTACCCGTTAGAAAACACAAAGAACCTTGCCTGCCTAATAATTCGCGCACCCGTATAGTATCTTAAAAGTTCCATGGCTCGTTAGACAACGATATTTCGAGAAGCCAATTGTTGCGTTGTTATCACCAGGGGGATGATGGTGAGGTCCGCTGGCCAGATAAATTTAGTTTAATTGATTGTTAAGGTGTTATCACTAAGGGAAGGTTACATAGCAACCCCTGATTTCAAGGGTATAAAAAGCCGCGAAATCAGGGTAATTTCAATCAGTCTTGCCCCGACTGACCGACCAGTAACTGGTGAGTAGCAGAAGTGGTCTGACGCTCGGTTCTTAGCCCGCGCATGACAAGAGCTCGAAGCAGTCGTAAAAGACGGAAGGCAAACGCGGCCCGACGCCGAGGAGTAGTCACCAAGTCCTACGGATTAAAGGCCTTGGACATAGCGCCAGTCGAGTCCGTCTGGAGGACTCGCCGTCCGGACCCGCACCCTGCCGGGAAACCCACCTTTGCCCCAGTCTGCGAGGTCGCCGACACGCGGCCATTTTGGCGGTACCACCGTATGACCGTTCAGAGGACACCAATCCCGGCGGTCATTAGCCCACTACCTTCGACCCCCAGAAGACCAGACGTGAAGGGTAAACTCCGAAGGCGCTCTGAACGCGTAAAACGGCGGTTAATAGAACTGTTCAGCACCCCGTAACTTTGTAAAGCAATAAAAAAACGCTGGACAACCTCAGAATTGTTCTCAACTAAATGATCTCTTTTATTGAGCGTTAACAGTACAACTCTCTTGTTCAAAATCGAGCTGCGCAAAGACACTGATGCCCAACACGGTTGAGTTAGAGGCAGCCAATAATAGTGCGAGGCATTCGCAGTGGGTCCATAGACGCCCCACTGTACGAACACGCACGGATGGCCGAGAGTGGAGTGAGAGGGTGCCAGAGAAAAACACATTCTCGCATGCCGCCGCTACGAGTCACGGTGACCACAGCAGTAACGCTCGTGCCACTTCCCGGCCTGCCTATTTTCTTTTACTACCAAACGAATCGGCCTATTTGCGACCGATAGAAATTTGAGAAGCGATCCACTTAGCCGCCCACTATCGCCCTTGTCGAATAAGCAAGGTATAGCCAATATGTATGGGTCACTTATCGGATTATCAGACGACTGCAGGGTCCTGGATTATAAGCGAAGCCAAGGGGAGATTCCGAGAGAAAAAGAAGCTTCGGAATACCTAGAAGCCATATCAACTGATCGGCTGTTAAGAAAGATCCGGGAATTAAGTAGCAGAGACCAAAAAGAAGCACAGACTGCATGCAATGGGAGGAATCTGGAATGTTGGAATGTTGGAATGCAAGAATGCAAGACACAGTACTTAGACTGTGCACTGTAGGTAGGTAAACATCTCCCCCGCCTGACGATGCGGTGCAATTAAAAATATATTCAATCATTATATTCAGATTGAGCTGACAGTATCTGCATTGGACTCTGACCCCTCCACTCCAATCTTCACGGAATGCACGCGCTCTGCACTCGTACTATGTACTATTTACATCGGACGTTAATCCACCGAGAAGCGAAGCACTACTGCCAAGTGTTCCCAGCCATTGGTGCAGCTAGGAGTCACTGCAACTACACGCTGCATATTTTACGGCGCCTGTTCTAATCATCACCAGCCGCCCTGGCATCAGTCGATACCTTCAGTGCCTCCGACCGTGCGTCTCGAGATTACGTATTCACCCTTGAGCAAGCACAGTCGTTTCGTGAAATTTCACAGAACATGATTCGGACGAGGAAGAATTTAGCCTAGAGCGAAGATACATACAAATGATGATCCCAGGCATGATGATTTCTTGCGACAATATAACATTTACGAAATCCCTAATTAACTGGAGTTGATGACCTCCCGGCGGGATGGCACCAGTTTCTACATACATGAGCGTCGACGATTTGCCGACAGTTAGGAATTACCAAAAAGGGAAGCGATAATGAGAATGGTCGTTAAGGCTGTCGCACGTCACCAAGGGGTCGCAAGGTCGCAGAGTTACTTTCACGAGTTTTACGTATGTCGCGAGAACAAAATTGTCAAGTATCGCTGTTAAAACGCATCTTTTAGTTCGTTGACCGATTACTCTCTCCCTTTCTCTTCTTTTGTCTCGTTTTCAGCCCCCTCTGATTTGGCTCCCAAAGGAAAACACCGGAGAAGGAGCACAAGGATCTTCCATCGTTTTGCAAATTCTGGTATAAACCACTTCTATGGAGCTTTTGATCTCGATGCAAAATTAGTACTCTAAATTACTGGATTATCTAGGAAAAGTCCATTAATCGTGACGATGTATCAATTGCAAGCACCAACGACGATATACTAAAACGCTTAGTGTCCGAAAACCTGGCTACGTTAACGTCCTCCATGAGATATTTCAGCGATCCCTTCAGCCGGATCCCTACCCTTACGCAACCGCACTGAGCCGCGGGCCGTCATCGTGAAATGCCTAATGGCGTCATGTGTCTTCATAACGTCAAGAAACGCGAGAAATCGAGCTCATTCTTTTGCTCGTGTGATACGTAAATTGGCCTGAAAATAGTAGACCGGAGTCGACACGTGGTGCTCGGGAGTACGAGCAGACTCACCGCGTCCTCAATGGGTGAGAATTAACTTTTTATTTTCATATTTAGTCTTCAAGTATAAAAACAGCAATATAAAGAAAGAAATCGTTAAACCCGAAGTCAGTCTAATACCGATCGAGAGTCCATAGAATCGACTTCCGAGTGACTGCGAGAACGAAGTGAAGTACGAAACAAGTGAGATTAGTTTTTCATCTGCTCTCATTACGTGCTGATTGATTGCAGGATAACAATGCCCGGAAGTAGATAGCCATCTGATGGTGTGGATCTGCACCCAGCGAAGAGGCTGTCGATCGTGCTCTGGGGTAGTTGTCGGTAGGTGGTAGGTGGCAAGGAAGGTACGGGGTGCATGGATGATAGAATTCGACGTGGATTCCAGTGCGGGACGGAAATAGAGGGGTCGCGCATCGAGAATACCACTGCGCACCGCATGCCGTTCGTTACTATAGAAGCCAGAACGTGGCTAGGACGAGCAGAAGAGCTACTAGAGCCTCGAAGAAGACGCAAATACTGCAGCCTCTCGACCGCGCGACCAGCTTGCTCACTTCGGGGTGACTAACTCCTGGGGATCGCGGGACTTCAGCTGAGACAGTTACGACATTTGAAGATCCGACCCAAGACGCATTGTCAATGCAGACCAAGGCTGAGATCTTTCATTAAAGGAATCTACCAATTCCACATTCTTCTCCTGCACTCAGATTGACCTTTATACCTGAGACGTCATACTCGAGTATGGCTCCGAAGGTAGTCGAATCAAGTAAGACCTGTGAAGATGCATAATCAGTACCTGGATCTTTATTATCCTGCAAAGCCTGATGGACCCCTCATAACTCGAGGCAGGAGTAACGTGACTTCCTCGAAAGCGAAATTCTCCAGGAAGAAACGAATACTCGTTATAAGTACTTTCTTCGCTTTCTTTTAATTCGAAAATCAATGCACAACTACACAATCTACATTCTCACTGTCGGCTTGCCTAATGTTGCGCGTCTTACGCTTACACGGCTCATTTCCGGTTATATGAATGCGTTTAAATTTTCTTTTTTTTTTCCTTTCTCAGTCACTATTCTTGAGTCCATGATCGTTGATGGATGCGTCATTCGCTTAATTTCATATCTAAAAATGCATTTTATTATTATCAAGTGGTTTAATGGTGGACGAGAGGGGGAAGAGGGAGATACCCAAACTCATTAGCACATGTATTCGAATTCTTGGCCACGTTCGTCTTGTCATCAGGTCTGCTGACTGTAGCTTTTTTTTTTTATTCAAATCCTTGTCCCCCTTGTTCCGAATTCCTTTACGAAAATATCCACTTCCACGTACAATTATCGCCGTCTTCTCGCGTCTTGTATCTTGTACCGAAATAGCGACTCTATCAAAGAGTCGAAATAATAATAGGAAAGCGGAGCACTCAAGGTATCGGTATTCTAATCGAAAACACTCGAAAGACTAAATATGCAATGGAAAGCGAATAACTTGGAATGGATGAATATTATAATTCTTACTTTCTTGGTAGGCTCGAGTCGAATTCGATTTGGCCTATAAACTGTTATAATTTTATAGGGATATTTTACATCTTTATATTCGCCAGTGTTTCCCATTACTTAGTAAAGCCGATGTGGATCGTTAAGATCGATCGCTAAAGATCCACCAAGCAATCCTTCCACATAGCAGAACAATCTAATCGTAAAATCTATCTATCCAAAGTTTCCTTTCATGTACATACACGGCGTTGCTTTGCAATGCAATTTCCGGCATTGGATTTATGGGCCGTCACGATTCCCCGAGGCGCACATGCATATCGGCTTAATGTTACGCCTTCGATAGGTCTGATTGTCTAATTTGTAAAACTGATTTATTAAAATTTTCTTTTCTTTTTCTAACCCAAACCTCGCCCTTTCTTCGTACAATGTCTTTTCTCGTTATTCAATTAATTTTTCTATAATTTCCTTTGAAATCGATCGCTACGAATTTTTTATTTCTATGTAAACGTATCCGGCAACTATTGTATTTTCAGACTCTGATACCGAAGATGAATTTCACGAGAATATAGAGTATTATTGTGAAAGTACGATGTGAACCAGGTCTCGTATACTTAAAGCAGCCTTCGAGAATTAACACCGACGAGCTAAACAACTAAACAATGCACGACCTCGTGCAATTATAATTAATTAGAAGCTCCTAGTCGCTTGGAGTCATATCGCACTCCTAGTTACAATAAGTCGGTATAAGAGTTTCACAAATTACTTAGAGAGCAACGTCATTTGCATTCAAGTTCATTCCACTTAACGAATCGACATTCGCAAGAAAAAGATACAGGGCAAAACATATAAAGTACAGGAAATTTAAAGTCACATAAAGTCGCCAACTTCCATCGGACAGTAGAATATTGAAAGTCATTTCTTCTCCTTTCACGATTGTCAAATTCATCGATTATTACTTCTCACTGCTGCGATTTGTAGGTACAAATGTTACGTAATAAATGACTATTACATTGTCATTGCGTAAGCAGTTCATAACTCTAGCAGTTAATCAGACTAGAGTCATAGAAAATATCTAATAAACTATCGGTACAGACAAAACCCATTAATAAACAGAAGCATCATTTATCAGAAACAGAAAGTTCGAGTCAAATTGCTCATTTCGAATCTTCTAATTTCCCGTGACTACTAGAGCCCTCTCTGACTCTGGTTTGCAAGTGTAATTATCAGTGCGGTTACCTAGATACGAAATGTTCGTGAGAGAAAAGTCCTACGGTGAAAGCAAAGTAAATAATGGACAAAAAGGCATCTTGAAATTGGCCATAAACTCTTGCGGTTCCTGACAGCATTATCACACTGTGCTTTTGAGATTATCTGTCTAATTTTTACGAACGTCCATTATGACGGGACGAGGCGGTTGAGTTACGTTAGAAGTGACGTAGAGGGCAGTGGCGACGAAACGAATCTTGGCGACAGTTGGCTCGATCTTTATAGTCTGCAAATAAAACGGAGTTTATCGTCCTTTACAGTGTTTCTACGAATCCGATGCAATTGATTCTCGATCAGATCAATAAGGAGAATCGATCGACATATGTATTTCTACCTCGAGACGTTCCCTCGGATTTATCGTGTCCAATTCTCTCCCGTTGATAACCTAACCTAAGGAGTGTCTTGTTAGTAAACAAGAAAATGAATATTTCATCCGAGTCTTGCTCTGTAGCAGCTTTTCAACTGACGGCTCGTAACTCTGTTTTAGTTCATAACTCACTGAAGGATAAGAATACGCATTGCGTCAAATTGGCCAGCAGGTGAGTACCATACTATTTCATACTAATTGTAAGGTAACACCGGACAAGATTTCTTATTATCAATTCTGGTGGATTAGATGATTTAAATGGATCCTGTTTTAAGAGTCGTGTACTACGTAGAGTCTCGAGTTACTGGAACGAATGTTATTGCTGATAACGTTGACAGCTTTGATAAGAACGATAACTAATGCTAAATTGTCACTTTTCTTTATTAGGTGTATAAAACAGTACACGAAGTCACAGGATGCTTGACGTTCGATGCTGTATTTCGTCTAGGGATATATACAGGTATATATATTACAGATATAAAATTAGACAGTCGTCCAGGATCTAGTATGCTTGAGCGGTTATAAAATTATTCCAGAATCACGTGCTATGGCTGTAAAGGATTATTTATTCGGATAGCGAAAACAACTTCCTCTCCGAATACGTAGCCGGAGTGAACGATCGGAATGACCAATGAGTTATGGAGAGTTCGATTAGTGAATTTCTGGGTGTAATACTTTTTCGAATTGCGACATCGCATAAGAACGATGTCAACGAACAGCGTGGAATGTCGTGTTGTATGAAACTACAAGGAGGCATCCAAATGTCCAACCGCGCAATCTGGCAGCCAGTCGGCTGGCTAAGCGTTAAGCGGTCAACATGGCCGGTCAGGTCGATAGGTGAGCAGAGCATTGAGCGTGTCTTGGCTTAGACCAGGGGAAGGCAGAGTGACGTAAAGGCATGTATGCCGGTTAGCATGTATGTAGGAGAGAAGGCATCACGAGCCAAGAATTCAAAGCCATTGTCAGGCCTGCTGCCGGATGGCTGAGGTCTGCCTATTACGGCCGCTGCTACCAGAAGAAGGACCGGTCATAGAAACGTTACACTTTTTTATTTTTATATTCTCACTATTCGAACTATCTATCGAATGACTTCGATACGGTACGGAGAGATCGATAACGACGCTTATTGTTGAAACTTTGAAAGCGATTAATTATTGATTATTAAAAATAGTGATTTTCAATCTTAGTCACATTAAAGAACCGGGTTAACGCCTCTGATTATGTACCAAGATTCAGCAGTCGTAGCAACGTGCTGAGCAAAGGGGCTTATCTTGACATTTAATTAACTTAGGCAAATTAGATAGTTAAAAATAACGGCTTACATAATAAATTCTAAAAAACCTAAGCGTGGGTTATACGCCGTATCTGCGTAGTCGATGCTACGTAGGCTTAAAAACTAATGCGCCATTGGACATGGCACGTAAGACTCTTGGAGAGAAAGGAAGAGAAGGGAGAGAGAGAGACTCAATTCCTAAATACCAGGATGGATTGAGGATATTAAAGAAAGAAAAAAAAATAGTCCATAATTATTACGTCCATGTAAAATCTGTAATAATCAAATTATCATTAAGTGGCGCATGTGTAGCCGCGTTTACGTTGCAATGGTAGGTGTCATATTTCTTAATAGTAGCAGCAGTCGGCATGCTCGATTAAAACTTCAAGCTCGAACCTTCGTGTAGTATCGCAACGCAACTTACAACACTTGAATAATCGACATCGTACGATTACGTAACAGCCTACTCAAACGGTCGAGCGAACAAGAACACGTCTGCACTTTTATTTTTGAGAAAAGTTTAATACGACTGCAGCAGCTGCCTAGCATCAATAATTATTCCTTTGCCGCAGGTCGAAGCAGATAACGAGTATAATGTGATACAAAGTACTCTGATAAGCACGCTTCCTCTTTCCCTGGTGAGTTCCAAGAATTCGAGTAATAATGTATCTTAAGCGATTCGACCTTTGACCCAGGCCAGAATTTCGCAATTCTTCCTCGATCAAAAGTGCCGATTGATTATCAATTGATTACAGGGGAAATAAATGAGGCGTGTAAAGCCACGTATTAACGTCCCTGGGTAAGGTCTTAAGGGCGGTGATAGTGGCTGAAGAAAATAAAGCAAAGCTACCGGCAAGACAGAGGGAGAAAGGAAAGGAAAATTCTTCAACCTCTAAGGTACCCAGGTGAGAGCCAATCGTTACAGACTGCAATTAGCAGGAGTAGTGATTATCTGTATTACGTCTAATCAGTACTAAACAATAATATAGTGTCAGGTGGTAAGGCAAATTATGAAAACTTTAATAATTACAGGTCGGAATACTCAAAGTGCTAAGGCTGCCAATCTACTTCCATCAAAGATTCGAAATTCCAGACTAATAGTGGGAAAGGCAAAGGTACGAATATTAAGGAAGAGCGAAGTGCCTGCTTTGTTGGTAATTAGCCTAATGCGTTTTGCATTGTGCGTTATCCGTTGGCTGCTGGCTGGTGGATGGTGAATGTTGAATGTTAGGCGTTACGAATTACGACAAATTCGTGTATCAGCCTGATGCATAACGGCATTCCATCACTGCTCAGGGAATGAAGTCGTTGGCTGAGCTTGCAGCTCGCGGATTACTAATTTTCCTGTCCATGTTTTCTGGGTTACGTTGGTGATTGCTCGCGAATGGCGAGGAGCGTGATCTACCGTATCGTGGATCACCGAGCAGAGTATACGAAGTATGTAGGTAGACTGTTGGCACGACCAGGCGGATGCTCGGATACTGTGGATGCTGGGACCCAAGATTCTTGGCAGCCCCTCTCGATGCTGTCTCCGTAATTCCCTGGAGCGTAGACAGCATGAGGATCGCGGTCGTCGGATGTTTATATTAGAGATAGTGTCTCTCTGTACCCGAATAACCAACCAGTGGCGGATCGTCGCCATTTTGTTATTTAAATTGACTCTCAAGATAATGACAATTTTCTTATCGGTACACAACGTGTAGGTATACCATACAATGTTTACTCTGTGGGAGAATTACTATTTTTGCTTTTCCTTTGTTTCAGTGTATCTCCTTTTTCATGGAAACTCAAGAATAAACAATTGAAAATGATGAACCTTCGAGGCTGCTGACGCCAATGCAATTTACTCCAAATAGTTGAACTCAGAAGTAACAGCAGAATGTAGTTGCGGTGCAGGCTGACGTAGAATGTGGTGTAGGAGTAGAGTGCTTGATTTTATCGTGCACTGCGTAGAAAGATAATTAATTGGGGTTGCGTGTAATTGGCATATAATATTCCTAGAGTGGTTGAACATCTTGTGGGTGTGATCCTTACACACTGAGAAGCTCGTAATTCATATTTTGTTCAAATAATGGAACATTTGGTATTACTGTGTTATTCTTTGTCGAGCATTAAATTTGTGATATTTATTGTAGGAATAAGTTGAAGTGTAATAACCTTGTGAAACGAGACGAATTCGATCGGTGTGAAGTCAGGCACTGTCCCGTACGATGGCGTTGCTTTAAAAGTAGAATAACAAACGTCAAGAGTCTTGGAACAGGAAGCAAGATCTTGCGGTCTTGAGATGCGTCTTTGGTTCTCGCCTGCAGCATCAGTAGCGTTACCGCAAATCTTACTTTACTTGCTTGGATATTAGTTAACCGTGTCCTCCAAACTGGATGAATATATCCAGAGAGAAGTAGACTTAAGACGGTGTAGTCGTGCGACTGGTAAGGTTAGATCGAGTCTGTCTTCCTTTTCCCGTAATACGAACTAGCAAAGAAAGAAATCGGATCAGAGTGATATATTTGTTGATTTATATTATTTTAATCTCCTGATCAATTAAAGAGCACAGGTAGAGCTATGTAGAAAAGATATTTTATTTCTGCTAGATACATTCAAGAATCGTCACTTTTTACAGTCTTATCTTCCCACCTTCCTGTGTCATGACTTTTTGAAAGAATTACCGGAGTTCTGGTTTTTTGGTTATTTTCGGGATACATTTTCTTTCCATTTTCATTCTCCAAATGGCTTGCTCCCATTCACGGAATATGACACATGGTAAGTTTCTGTTTACTTACGTATAAAACCTTGTAAAATGAACTTTTGTAAAAGTCTTTGACCGAAAGTCAAAATCTTTACCAAAGAATCTGATAATAAAATCTCGAAAACGGAAGTTCTTGCCGCTGGGCACTGCCCACTAGAGTGTCGATCGTTTCTTGGTCGTTCAACTCGGATTCGAGTTAATTCTCAGGAGCTGTCTAACACGCAACGTTTGACTCGTAGCGATCCTCCGGCGCATCCGCTCTCTCACGGTGGACTTGTCACGGACAGCTAATCTCCCGTTTCTAGGAGGGCATCTTGATACTTTTACCAGAATGAGAATCCGTGGTGGTTCTACGGAAGAATCGAGCGACGGGAGAGTCAAATGGGAGAAGGAAAGGAGCAGCTCGAGATTTGAAAAGGCAAAGAAGCTCGAGGAGAAGCCACTCGTCGAGAAACTTCATCCCGACGACAATCCTATGGGAAGTCGAGTGGCCGAAAGGGCGCACTCGAAAGAGCTGGAAGGTATCTTATCGCGTTGGAATGTAAATAAGCCAAAGAAATAATTAATAGAAGAAGCAACAAAATTCTCAATACGAAAAGGGATATAGGAATGAAAAAAAAAACCGAAATTAAATGGTATACATCTTATTAACCGATATCAACGCTCTTTGGGTATGAGAAAAATTAATAATTAATTAATTACAATTAATCCTTCTCTTTTTATTAACAGTGACGTTTCATCCAAGTGAATATACATCAGTAAATACAATTCTATTTCTGTTTGAAGTACGTTCAAATTATCTGACGTGTGGGTATCTGATGTAAGAGAAGGCCCGATGTTCTCGAACAAAAAATTGTATCTAAATGACCTGGAGCGCGTGGGTCCATTCTTCGGAGGCTGTACACCTACGACCTCCAAGAGGTTATCTGGCTATAAGGATCTAGATATTACCAAAACGATCCATCTTCCTTTCTTCCCTTCCATTGCATTTAGCGTCGCCTTCTACCGGAGCACACTTCGTGCCTCTATACTTCTTTGGATTGATATATTAGACAGCATGCGTGGTGAGAGTGGCAGGAGTGGGGAATGATCATGCGCAAGGATAGGAGACGCGTAGGACGCGTAACGGTAACGGCCATGCCACGCGACCGACGCCCTCGACCGATCTCGACTCCGTTGGGACATTGAAAGGTTCAGTCTGTCATTTGGACAAGCGGTCAAACCAGTCTGTCACTTTAAAACGTGGCCATATTAAATAACGCTGACCTAGAGGTTAACTTGGCACCCCTGATCGTACGTGGCTTCCTCTTCTCTTTCTTCCCTTTGTTCTGCACTTTCTCCGTCAGCAACGTAACGACGCTCCCGTTAAGTGATTACTAATTACGCGAATGTGTAAAGGCGATGAAAAAATCTTGACATTTTTTTTTCAAGACCCGTGGAACTTATTGAGCTTCAAATACTCAAGCTCGCCCATTAAGGAGTCAACTTGAGCATCGACGCCCACTGAATTCGTACTCGTGAACTCTGGTGAACTCCTGAACTCTCTTTCTTCGTCTTTGACAATCTGAGGACAATGACGGAATACTACTTCTCCTTTAGAATCTGCATGTCATTCACCGGGAATCCGACTTCCTCTTTTGACTTACGGGACTCGGGTTTCTGCTCTCTAATTAGAATTCGTACTTTTAGATTTGATTGTACTTCTTTCATTTCTTGATTCTTCAATTATCTGACTATTCTGTTATTATGGTTTTTCACGAAATTATAATAGTTTTTACTACTTTTATTTCTCTTTTAACAAAACGTCGTCTGTCTGTCTTTATTATCTTGTATTCTTCACGAATATTTGAAATGAAAAAAAAATTCGGTTTCCCTACTAGCAGAGCGTGGTTTCGATCCACGGACCTCTGGGTTATGGGCCCAGCACGCTTCCACTGCGCCACTCTGCTGTCGTTGTAGTAGCTCTCCACGATTACGTACATCAATCACAAACCTAATATAATTATACAATAGAACAACTTTGAATCTTCAATTTGTAAGACCTAAATGAAATTTGTAAATCTGCATGAGATTAAAGAATTTCATTATCTTTTTATATAAAATCTTTAAATGATAATATAGCCGACCAACCCTATACTGAACAGCTCATTGCCCGACCTTGGAAAGCCTTGACGTCACATATACGTTCACTCTCTCTCTCTCTCTCTCTCTCTCATTCTTTTTAGAAGAATCAAGGCCGATACATTATTTCGTTTATACATCCTTCATTCGCATTACTATATCACTAAACTGTCCTAGAGAGAACTTTCGGAAGATTACAAAATTAGATATGCACACCTCGTAAATGAGTTGGAAAGTATGTAAAAGGAGAAAAAGTGAGGGGACGCGAGGGAGAAGAAGGTTAGACTAGTATCTAGATACGGACTGCTCCAGGTGTTCCAAGTGTTAGCCACCCGTTGGCGATGCTCTTCCGAGTTCCAAGAAGACCAGAAGACAGAGATGTAATACATTACCAGTTAGATATACATGAACTCGATATGTAACAAACTTCAGGTATATGGGCTATAGACTGTAGAGACTACAGACTATAGCCCTGACAAGCAATGACTCCTGACGTCTGACTAACCGTTCTATTTCAACGCTCTCTTTGGATCCTCTGACTAACAGAGTAACTCCTCCGCACTCCTTCTCATCATCATAGTCATCTGAATTTCCCATATTATTAGTACGATTCATCGGTATACGTTCTAGAGGAAGTTATAGATCTTATGAACGATGCTCTTCACTGTTGATTTTTAGTTGCGCAGTTGGCAGCGAATCAGCCATTTTTATTTTTTGTGTTTTTTTTTTTCATGGTATACACAGTAGATATTATTTTTTTTCTGTATTTTGTGGATTCAACTACATTTGATTTTAAGAGTAAAGGGAGTCAACCAGGTGGAACAAGAGTTAGGGCACTTAAGCAGTGGATAAAGTTATGGGATTTATGGAACATTCGATATACGTTGACTTCGATTGGAATTATTTGGAGTAAAAATAAAAGGCGAATAAATATGTAACGCGATCGATCGACATGGCGGAATCGTGTTTTTACCGAATCACTTTCATCCACGATGCGCGACGAATATCAAAGGCTTTGCTGTTACGAGATTTCACTTTCATTGACTTTCTTCGTAGCAGCTGGGAAGTCGAGCTGCGAATCGGATCAGGACTACAAATTAGAAATTACAAATTGCAAACTGTGAAGTACAAAAATCCGAAACGTAACTCCTTCTTTGTTAGAAAGTTACAATTTGAAATCAAGAAGCATGCAACGAATCGTTAACGATTTACCTACTCTTCATTTTCATGCACAGGACGTTACTCGCTCTTCGTTGAAACGAATTTATATTTGCGTGCTTCCCAAACATAATTGCAGACAGCAAGTAATGTCTTACGTAAACGTATTGACGAATAGACGTCGGTTCAAGGATATTAACAGGAGCATGGCTAAATGAAAAACATCAAACTTTTTCAAAGAGACGTTTAAACAATTATCTTGCGTAATAATCGTGGCTCTTAGAAATATTCATACTCAATAATGAATATAGAAATCCAAATCTGCTATTGCATTTTCAGGTTTTCCAAACTAAGTATTGTTTAGAAAGAGAAGTGAATTTCTCTGGTAATGATAGTAAAGTAGAAAAAGTTTACTGAAAAATTCCATGCAGCTTGTGTCATCCATATATTATCCACGGTAAGCCAGAAGAAATGTGTATAGAATTACGTTATGTGTTTCTGGTCCATTAGGTGCCTGAACTGTGCTATAATTCATCCACAAATAATAAATATTGGAGAAGCCATTTTCTTATTGCATTCAACGCGACTCCTCCAAACTTCACATTTTCCTCGTGAATCGACTATTGGCTGTGTCGGGAGGACTAGGTAATGCCGCACAAGGTGGTCCTCGACCCGAAGCAACCCGAAAAGAAAGACTGGCTAATTGTAAGATTCCTTCGTGAAGAAGTTTCATGTTGGTTATTATGTTCATCCACCATGATGCATGCTCACGGTTCCTCCTTATAGTACTGCCTTATACTGCCAGTGGTGGATATTCTGCTGCCAGCAGTGCTGGCCCCACTTGCGACTCGAGGGAACCCGAGGAAAGCCGAGTGAAGTCGAGTCGCGGCGAGCTCAACCGAAAGTGACCGATGATTGCCGAAGTTTGCCACTCTCCCATAGAATGGTTCTAAGTGCGATCGTGCAACCGCGCGGCAGCCGAGACGGGCGGACAGGCAGTGGCCGCAGAAGGGCAGGCAGTCACTCAGGAAAGGTAGTCGCGTACGAGTGTCTTTGCGTTCGTCTCTATTTAATTGGATTTGGATCGGTACGCGAAATCTTCCTTCTTCCGGTTCTTTAACAATAGACATAATAAAGTGCTCTCGTTAATCGCGCTTATACTTCTGTGCTATCTATTCCCATTGAAGAATCAGTGCAAGATTGAAGTTAATGGTGGACGTTTTATTTCTAATAGCTATCACGGATTACTGGATTACTCTACGACCAGCAACGGGAGTCTTTCTAAAAGGTGCGATATCTTGCCTACATTCACAAACTTTCTGGGCTTAAGGCATATAAAACTTGCTCTACTTTCCGGCATAACCTTTATCCCGTGAAGTTCTTTTAAATCCTTTTTCTCTCGATCTTGTTGATCCTCGGTATCTCGCATGTTCCTTGGACCGCATCGGTCACCAGTATTTTAGAACAGCTGTACCCAACTGCTATACTGTATCGAAAATTTTGAAAATCCGTAAATTATTACAGACAGAGAGCCGAATTGCACTCGGGCGTGAATTATCCTCGGACTCCTCACATTGTCAGGAAATCTTTTTGAAATGACTAACCGTCGAAATGCCGCGAAGGAAAAAAAAAGCGTCAGGTGTTATTGAAAGTACCAAAAAGAGATACAAAGACAATAAGATGTTGTAACAAATAAGACGAAAAAAGCTTATTATTCAACCAACAACGCCGCATACCTTTGAATTCCTCCATATTATAAACGGAAACAGTTTTTCGTCGGATTCAAACGTATTTCTCGTATAATTTCTTTTGGCTTGACTATCGACAGAAATGGTTCGGGTACCGACAAACACAAAACTAAAGGCACGTGGGAATATTGGCGTATATTGTTCACACACTGCTGCTCTCAATAAATTCACTATCTGACGTAATCGCGAAATACATTCTACCCACGTAATTCTTAATGGGGATTTTTCACCTCCATCGTCGATGTCGAACGTTATGTTTTCGTCCCCGTCAACTGTACCTGATTTCTCCACTAGGAGACATTTGGCAATTACAATAATTTCACCAGAAGTGACATAAAGCTTAATTTTTAACAATCTGCTCGTTCGTTGAACTTTGTCTTCGTTTCTGTTTACTTTCCTAATCATCACTGCGATCGCTCCCGGAGAAAATCGACGCCGGCCATTCCGGTCGCTTCTTCCTTAACGTAATAACGATTCCAAAGCACTACTGAAAACAAAACAACAATAATTATTCCCAAAGAAAATATTACCCCCTCATTAAAAATTGCCTCACGCATCCTCCCGATTAATTCACCATTCGCAATCGCACCCTACCTAAAAATACATCTACTAGCTTAAACTCGCATACTCGCAGAACAGTCATCCTCGTGACTAATCGTCAAATAATAAATCGTCAGAATAAAGAGGCAAAAAAATCCAGAAATACACAATCACCTGATAGTTACTACATTCCACAAAACATTGTCACTGCTGAAATCAAACTCCACCGATAAGACGAAAACATAGAAATATCAGGTTATCACCTTCAATCGTTACAAAATGGTGTTAGCCGATACGCGGCAGTGTTACTATCGTAATTTAATAAAGTAAAGAAGTCTGACGAATATTGTCCACGTCCTCGAAGAAGCGTTACGTAGTCAGGTCAGTGTATGCGTAAGCAATGCTCGGGCAACCTGGTGAACAGTTGTGGTACCGTTGTCGGCGGCAGCAGCGAACTACGATGCGTGTTTGTTTGCTGCTGCGTAACCGGTCGTGTCGAGTGAACCAAGAGGAGAAAAAACAGAGAGAGAGACGTCGGCCGGCCGGCCGGCTAGCGAGCGACCGAGCAACCATCAGGTAGAAAAGGCAGCGGAGGTGCGTGGGGCTGCGCGTAGAGGCGAGTGTAGCGCCAGAAGAAGAGATGCGTGGCGAGGAAGGAGTGTGTAGAGAAAAAGGAATTAAAAGAGTAAACGTGGTGGAGTGCCGTTACCACGTCCTCGGGTAGAATGGCCAAGAGGCTGGATGAAACCTGAAAGCGGCATCGGGATCGCGGAAAGAGAGGACGGCGATGGGCTCTTTTTTTGTTAGGATTACGGGGCGAGTTATATACGTCTCGAAGGGGATGCCTGTTCTTTATTTTTATGAATATCCCGAAGCATTCAGGACGCGTGTAGTCGCTGGTAGACAAAATAGTTGGATTTAAACAAACACACTCGTACTTGTGTACTACGAGTTAAATCTCGTAGCTGTTATATATTTAAAATCTAGATACTGACCTATTTCATCCGCATGCATTTGCCTCTTGCACAAATGCATCTATCAATCTATCGATCAAGCGATCGAGCACGGTGAAAGTGGCGCTCCTCCTCTGTTCCTTTTAAACTTAGAAAGTCGATTGTCCTGTCCTCCCATTGCCCTCTCGTTACACCGTTAATGATTCCAACTATCGTGACGATCCAAAGGATTTTTATTTCTCCCTTCTTTTTTTATTACTCGCTCGGCCGGAAACTGTTAATCGTTATCTTACTACGTGTTACAGCCAATGGTTTGTTATGTATTACAACATTTTTTATTTTGTTTTCCAAATTTTATTACTGTAACAAAATTATTTATCCATTTCAGTCTAGATCGAATCGATCAATTTTATCTTTCCATCTACTTCCTGGTTATCGTAATGACTAGAGAGCAAGTTACATTCCGATATGAATGCATAACAGTTAATATATTTATCGTGAATCTATTTTGCTAAAAAAAAAAAGCTTCGACGATAGTGATGACGTGATACAACAACAACAAATTCATCATTACAAATTTTTACTGTTGTGGCACCTGGAATTTTTTTAAATTAATTTCCAAATTCGATATTAAGTTTTTTTCTGAAGTCTCACTATTGACTTTGTTAGCTACTGAAATTCCAGTGATGGTCGTGTCGCTCGGGCAATGCGTGATGCCGCCTAGTTACTGCTGCTGAATTCGCAGTAGCGGCGACATTGAAATTCCGAAGGGAAGGTGCGCCAATAACCTAGCCTAACTGACCCCATACCAGGAGGGCGTGCCCTAAGAGGAACGACAGTCGCGGAATAGTAACGCGATCAATAAAGTTGACAGACCAACAGACAGTGTACTTGTACGGTACTGTAGCCCGTGCACGTGCAGCATCTCCATGACTCCTTGGGATGCTGAGTGCAGCGATCTGCATTGGACTTTGGGAGGGG